GTGCTTATAAGTGCTTACGCCGACGCACTTCTGGATGCGGCCGCCGACTTTGATTTCGTGCAGCATCAGGCGCTTGGTCAAGTCGAACAGCGTCAAGTACGACTGTGCCTCGCTTCCGAAGTTCGACGCGATGACGATCAGGTGCGAAGTTTCGCCGCCGTCCAGGTACAGCCAAGAGCCGGAGTCGCAGCCGTGTTTTCGGAAGTTGTACTCCTCGGAGCGCCAGTTCCCCGGACAGACGGCGATCAAGACCACCAGCAGGTTCGAGGAGTACGTCGCGAGCAGCGCCTTGCCGTCGAGCCGCCAAGACAACGAGGTAATGCTGCCTTCGTAGCAGCTAAGCGTGCTTTTGCGGACTAAGACTTCATTTTTTGCTCTACTCATCGGCGCAGCGGCAGTAGCGCAGCGGGATCATCGGGGACAGAATTAAGCGAATATTTCTGCTTGATTTACTGCAAATTCTAAAACCCTCTCGTTACCCGCTTTCGGCTTCTCCGCATCTCTCGGCGAGCCGCGCAGCAATTCCTCTTCGCACTTGCGTCGATATGGCCGGAAAACCTGCTGTCCGTTCGACCTCCCGAAAGGCGAGAGCGTCGGCTGCCGGACAGCCGCACGCCCGCGCCGGAAAAGTCCAAAGCGCGAGCGCGGCGCCGGCGCGTCCGGCTTACCGCGGCGATAAACTGAGGGGCACGCAGGAACTGCTCAGCCAGCACATGCGGAACCGTTGTTACGGCATGGCGGTGCAAGCGTTCGAGTCTCTGCGGCGGGCCCGGAAACTCTCGAAACGCGATTTTTTCGACATGCTGTCCTTCGTGTTACGAGGGCGGCAACACAAATATGCTGCGCAGCTGCTGCGCGCTAAACACGAGTTCGGCGTAGTTGCGACGCCCGGATTCGACTCAATGCTGCTCTCCAAAATCCTCAAGCTGAACGTGTTTGCGTTCCGCGACGCATACGAATTGTTTCGACGCTGCGCGAGCGGCATTTCCGTCGCGCAGCTGATCGAAGACGCGCTGTTTCTCCCGAGTCCGAAGCTGTTGTGCGAACCGCTGGCAGCTGCGGAGACTCCGGCAGGCGCGCCGCGCGTCGACGATCGTCTTGTGAACCATATGCTGCGCTGCTGTCTGCGCAACGGCTACCCGGAAGTCGGGCTGCTCGTTTGCCGCCTGTTAAAGAATGTGCAGGACAAGACGTTTCGGCTGCTCAAACTGCGCACGCTGCTGTTCTGCGAGCAGTTCGAGGAAGCGAAAAAGTTGTTCTCGCGCAAGTTTGGCTTGCGGAGGCTCGACGACTTGTTCGAGGCGCAACTTGCGGCGAAAGCAGCCGCAGAAGTTGCGCTGCACTGCAAAAATGCGGTTGATTTGTCCGAATTGCAAGCGTACATCGCTGAGGTCGGCGAGCGAATCGCTGCCGTTTCGCCGAGCAACGACTTGCAGGGCGCGCAGCCGGAGCACGAAAATGAGAGCTCGGCTTTGTTTTGTCAACACGCGTTAAGCGAGCTGGCGGAACGGGTGAAAATGATTGACGCTGCGGACTGCGAAGAACGCTGTGTTGCTATGTTTCACCACGAAGATCACTTGCAGTTGGACTCGCTCGACGAGGCGGACTGCGCATGGCGCAGCGTTCCGCACTGCGCGAAGAACTTTGCCTTCGACCAGATCGATGCGTTCGCGACTTTGCCGACGCTGCCAGAATTTTACCGAAAAGTACTTGCCGCGGACGCTACGGAGCTGCGCGCCGAGGTTGAGGAAAACTGTCGACGTGTGCGTGCGCAACTAGGGCGCGCTGCGCACTTGGAAATTGGCGCCGGCTGGGGCGAGTTTGCGGCAGAGCGGCTGGCAAGCGAGCCGGACGACACCGTCAACGTAATCAACGAACTTAGTTGGGAGCGGTGCGGCGTTGCGCAGCTGCTCGTGCGTGCCCGCTCAAACGCGTTGGTGCTGGGCGGGGACATTCAATACTATTTGAGCGGCTGGTTGGCGGAGCGCACGCTGGACAGCGTCGCGATCCGGTTCCCGGAAGCGCCGATTCTGTTTGAGACCTCGATGCTTACTACGGCGTTTCTGCGCAACGTATGCGCGTTGCTACGGGAAGGCGGCGAGTTGACGCTGCTCACCGACAACTTGCGGTACGCGCAGTGGCTGAGTTCGTTCAGTTTCAAGCCGCTGCTCGGGAGCGATTCGGAGCTAGAGAGCTGCACAGGCGCAGGGGCTTGGTTGTTCGCGGAGAAATCGCTCGGTGGCGCAGCGTGCTCGTACTTTCAGCGAATGTGGTCGCGAACCAATAAACCCATTTATTCATTTATTGTGCGGCGAAAAAAGTCTGAGCCTGAGTCCGTACTTTCGGACGCGCAGATCGCAGCCTAGTAGAATAGAATACGGGATGTGGCAGTGCTCAGTGTGTACTACGCCGTGCGAGGACGCGGAAAGACTCTGCACAACGTGCGGCGCCGAGCGACACGGAGCGGGCGACAAGAAGCGCAGATTCGAGTCGAACAGTCCGCCGTTGGCGCCAGAGTCCAGCAGTTTTTCGCAGAAAGCGTCGCCAAAGTTTGGTCTGCCGGACTCGAGCGCACGTAGGAAGACCGGTGCAACTCAGTCCTCGCTGTCGGCCGCGTTCATCACTCCGGGGCGCGTGACGTTCGGCAACTCAAACCCTCCCGAGACTCTGGGCGGGAGCGAGGAAACCGCGGCTAGCGTCTTCAGCTCTTGTCAGATCGGGTTTGGCGCGCGCAATCCAGACTTCAATTCGCTGCAGAAGCTGGAGGGCGAGCGGCGCGACGAGAAGCTTTTGGGCTCGCTGCTCACGTGGGGCTCCGGCGAGTGCGAGCAACTGCCGCTCCGCGTGTCGACGCTCAACGACTTCAACTGTTCTCCGAAGCCGCAAATAATCAGGATGTTCTCGCACGCCAACGTATCGCGCGTGTTTTGCGGCTCTATGTCCTCGTTCGCGCTCGTTGAGCAGCACGGCAAACAGGTGCTGTATTCTTGGGGCTGCGCGGACATGGGCGTGTTAGGCCGTCCAATTAAGAACGTGTTGGCCTCGAGCGAGGCGTTCGCGAAAACTGGGCTTGCGGGGTACACGCCGACCTCCGGCAAGGTGCCGCACTTCGTGCCCTCGCTGCCGATGGCGCGCGTAGCGAACCTGGTGAGTGGCGACAGCATGACGGCCGCGCTGTTGGACAGCGGCGACGTGTTCGTGTGGGGCGCTTTTCGCGACTCGTACGGCAGTCTCGGATTTCGCGCGGCTACGGGCGAGTACTCTGAGTGCTGTTACGTGCCTTCCAAGTTACAGCTCGGCGGGCGCGTCCTGCAAATTGCAGGCGGAGATAACCACTTGTTGATACTCTTCGAGGACACCTCGGGTCCGCCGCGCCTGTGCGTGCTGGGCAGCAACGAGTTTGGGCAGCTGTTCCTCGCGCCGCCGGTTGCTGAGGAGCAGCACCAGCTGTCGAGACGTCGGGAAACGCTGGCGCCGCGCATGCTCGCGTTGGCCGACTTGGAGTTTCACGTGACCGAAAAGGGCGATCGCGGCAGCGTTACCGCGGCACAGCATGCGGAGCTGCTGCGCAGCGGCCGCATTCTTTCTGTGCACGCGGGAAAATGCACTTCGTTTGTGCGCGTGTCGCTGGGCGAGCAGCAGCTGCTGTTTGGCTCCGGCCGCAATTTCTTCGGCGAGCTGGGCTGTGGCGACTCTGGCTCGGCGAGTCACGTCGCGCGGCGGGTGCAGTTCGAGCGCGCTGAGGACATGCTGCAGCTCGTCGGCGGCGACTTTGCCACGTTGCTCTTGACGCGCGCCGGCGACCTGTACGTGTGCGGCAAGGGCTTGCACTGCGGCCTGAACCGCTCGGACCCGCTCTCGAAGCAGTGCGTGCCGGAGCTGCTTGAGCACGTGAGCGGCAAAGTCCGCAGCGTGTGCTGTGGCACGAAGACGTTTTTTGCGACGTGCTTCGGCGGCGAGGTGCTTGCGTGGGGCGAGAACGACGCGTACCAAGTCGGCGACGGCTCTGAGGGCGCGGAGAAGCTCGTTCCTGTGGTGCTCAAGCCGCAGCTGCTCTTCGGCGCGCGCTGCTTTGACGTCGCGGCTGGCGCGCAGCACACCGTGGCGCTGGTTGACAAAGATCTGTCGGCGCTGCTTGAATCAACCACAGCGAAAGCGAATTGCGTCGCAGGCTCGGTCGGCAATGCGCTCGGCGAGTCTCCCGCGGCTGCGCTTGTCCCGCGCACCGCTGGCAGGGCACAGAGCAAAGCTCTTGAAGCGACGCGCGTTAGGAGTGCTGCGCAGCCGCTCCAGAGCGAGGCAGCGGCAGAGAAGCAGCCGCAAACGGTGCAGAAAAAGCGACGCTATCTGGCGCGGCTGAACCTGCCGGACGTTATAGAGGTAACAGAGCGAAAAACGCGCCGGCGCAAATTGGTCCCAAATTAATTCGAAGTGCTTTGATTGCACGATGAAGGGATTGGACGCGTTCGATGCGGTGGAGAATTTACGTTGGGTGTATGCAGTCGAGACGCTTTTGTTCGTTCTTGTGCAATTTGCGTTAACGCTGGCCATCAGCAACACGATGAACAGCTGCGTTCCGAACAGGGTACTTGAGCGGACGCCTGTGTTTCGCAAAATGTGTGATTCGCCGCAGCTGCAGCCCTTCTGCGTGAAGACGGTCCCCTACGCGGCCGCGACGAACGCGGTGCTCATGGTAATTTCCGTGCTGGTGTTTTTCCTGCCACCGACCAGCACCGCGCTCGGGGCAATTACGATTTGCTCTATCCCAGTGGTCGTCCTGGTACAGTTTCTGGCCTTCAAGCTCATTCGGAAACGCAGGTTCTATTTATGAAACCACCGCTCGTTTTGCCGCCGCTCACCTTCGCAGCGCGTTAGGGTCTTGCGGGGCGAGACGTAACAATTATTTAAATTTGAATTCGCGGAACGTGGCTTTGCTAGAATGAGCGACGTAAGAAAAGTGGAGAAGGCTGTCACGCCCCCCGCCAAGCCCACGAAGATCGTGCGTTTGACGTTGCACGGTAGCGACTGCCAGGCGATCGAAGCACTCTCGAGCGACTTCGTCAAGAGCGCGCGCCAACACCGCCTCAAGTTTCAAGGCCCCAAGCGCATGCCGGTGAGGCGCATCAGCCACACCACGCGAAAATCGCCTTGCGGCCAGGGCACGAACACGTGGGACAAATTTGAGATGCGCCTGTTCAAGCGCGTCATTGACATCTTCGTGAGCGACGAACAGCTGAAGATCATCAGCCAGTTCGCAACGGTCGACAAGAACGTCGCCGTGGACGCGACGGTGCGCGAAATCAAGACGCCGCTGGCCGCGCAGTAGACCGCTCGTGTGGCGGCCGGTCGCAGAGGCCTGCGGCCTGCTGTGCGCGGCGCGCGCGCTCCGGCAGTGAGCTGTTGAATACATACTTCTCCGGGTCCACGCTTTGCGTTTCGGCCAGCAACGGGTCTACGATGCGCCACTGCGAGAGCAGCTCGCGTTTGGAAATGAAGCTGGACGCGACGCCGTCGTAGCAGTCGGCGATCAGACGCTCGTAGGGACTGAGGAAGGCGTCTGCGATTGCGCGCGGCTTTTCGGCGTCCAGCCGAAACGCCATGCTCGGCTGCGCTGCGCCCGCGCGCAGCGTTGCGTGTGCGGCGTTGAGCACGAGCTCGTAGCTTTGGCGCGGCTGCACGTTGATGTGCAAGTAGTTTGCGTCGGCCGCCGCGTCGGCCGCCGGCCGAAACCGCAGCTCTATACTAACCTCCGCCTGCGCGATGCCTTTTCCTGCCTCTAGAAAAATCGGCACGCCGCGCCAGCGTGCGTTGAGGACTTCGAGTTGCGTGAAGATGTAGGTCGGGCACTTTGTGCCCGGCGCGACGCCTTCCAGCTCTGCGTAGGAGGGCACGGTGCCGTCGCTCACGTACTGGCCGAGCACCGTGTTGCACGCGCGCAGCGGCGCAACGGCGTCGAGCAGCGCGGTTTTCGCGCCAATCAGCATCTTGTCGTTCAGCGACTCTGGCAGCTCGCAAAGAAGCAGCGCAAGGATCTGCAGCGCGTGGTTCTGAACGATGTCGCGCACAACGCCGCAGGAATCGTAAAAACCGACGCGGCCTTCGCAACTCAGGTTTTCGTTGAGTTTTAGCGAAATCCGGTCAATGAACTCGGCGCTCCATATGCGCTGGAAGAGCGGGTTTTCGCGGCGAAAATGCAGCAGCGACTGCACGATCGGCTTGCCCAAGTAGTGGTCGATTAAGAACAGGCTGTGCGGGTTGACCAGGCTGCCTATGTCCGCCAAGAGCCGCTCCGCGGAGGCGCCCGACTCGCCGATTGGCTTTTCCACGATGACGCGCGTCCAAGAGCCGCCGCGCTCGAACCAGCAGTTCTCGCGGAACACGTGGATCGCGGCCGCAAACTGCGAAGGCGGCAGCGCCAGGTAGAGCAGTAGCCGCGCGGGTTTGCCAGTGGCGCTCGAGCGCTCGATGTGCGTGCACAGTCGTTTTGCGGCGTCGGCGTCGGCGTAGCTGTTGCAGCGGTACGTGCGCAACAGCGCAAGGAAGTCGTATACTGCGCTCGCCTTCAGTGGCGGTTCCTTCGCCGCAGCGTGCGTCGGGTTTCCCGTGAGCTGCGTGAGCGCCTCCGACGGCGTTGGCGGCGGAGTGGGCGCGAGCCCGCTCACGAGCGATTTAAAACTGTCGAACAGTAACGGCGTGAAGGAAGCAGTGTCGATGACGCTGCGTGCATACAAGTGGATGCGCAGACCGGCGGTGAACTTGTTCTTCAAGAACAGCGCAAATAATGCGTTCATGATCTTTACTTTCACCAGGTTGCCGCTGGCGCCGAGGAGCACCACGTGGTCGTTGACGCCGGCAGGCGACGCACTGGCGTCCTGAGCGCGAGCGAAGACCGTGGTGTCGGACTCGTTAGTCTGCAGCGCGAGCATTAGCGGGTTGGCGAGCGCGCGCGGCGCCTTCTCGAAGTACGCGTTGACGAGTTCCTTGAAAGTCGTGAGCTTCTGCGGGCTTCCAAGCAGCAACACCTTCGTTGAGGCGCGCGCGATTTCTGTCAGGGTGAGCGTCAGCCGCTGGCGAACGGCGAACTGCGATTGCTCTACGGCGCAGGCGACGTCGTGCCCGAGCGCGGCGCGCTGCTGCTCGGCGCTGAGGTCTGGAAACCACGAAGCGGTGTGCCCGTCGCTGCCCATCCCGAGCACTACGAGGTCGAGCGCTGCGTTTCGCGACCGCACCTCGGCGCGAAACGCTGCGACACAGTCGGACACGCCCTTGCTGGTGTCGAAATGCAGGAAATGCGACTCGAAGTCAAAACCCGCTGCCGTTAGCGCGGGCGATATGGCGCGCCGCACGCTGAGCTGGTTGGCGTCCGCGTGTTCGGCGCCTACGTAGCGCTCGTCGACCAACACGAAGTGCAGCTGCGCGAGCTGTGCAGCCGGCAGTTGCGCGAGGCGCTCCGCGTACAGCGCGTAGACTGGCAGCGGCGTGGCGCCGCCGCTCAGCCCCACGAAAACGGGTGTGTCGCCGCGCGCGAGCAGCGCGGTGGTTGCGCTAAAAAGGTGCTCAGCTGCTGCAGTTTCGAAGGCTTCCGCCGTCTCCGCCAAGTGCAGTTTTGGCAAAATCATGAACGTCGAAAGGCGGAGTGACGTATTTTGTTCAGACAAATTGCGCCGGAAAACGCGACACACAAATTACAGAAAGATTACGCTGCCCTTTTTAATGCTTCACAAATACGGCAAAAATTGCTGGAGCCTGACCACCTAATTTCTTTGCATGCTTTTAACGGACTATGTTTAGCTGCACTGCGTGCTCGTTCAACCCGTTCTATCATTTTTTCGGCGGCAACAGCTCGTCGGACACGGCGTCGGAGTTGGACGACACTCCGGCGGACGCCAATGACCTGGGAGTCAAGCGGTGGGAAACGCACTTGCATCCTCGGACGTACTCGCTGTTCAACGAACCGTTCAAGCTGCTTCGCGAGATTCGCAACTGCATCGACGCGCGGTCAGATCCGATTT